TAAGATTTAAGTCTGGAGGCTCGGTTCTTGTTACCAAGGGATCTTCTCGTATCATAAAATAATGAGATTATCCCCCAAAATAGGTCAGCATGGGATGAAATACATGATCTGTGATAGGAGATACTTTTCTTATCCGCTTTTATGAACAGTATATGTCTTTCTTGCCTGCATTTTCAACTTTAGGATGTGTGCCTGCTTTATCTTTCTTTTAAAAAATATGGTAATCTTCACATCCCAGTCTTTTGTGCCAGCTGTATAAAGAGCAACTAACACCAAAGGCATATATGCATAGAATTCTTATGCCAATCAACGTTATTTTAAAGCACTCTTCAATTTTGCAATATTTTAATTCTCTAGGCACTGTTATAGTAGCTGACCACACTTTGAAATGACCTTTGTCTTGTTTGGTACTTGAAGGACATGAAAAATCTCCCCCCACTTCCTTACCCTCTCCCAGGGCTCACTTTTTCCCTCTCTTTTCTCTGCCTTGCTTGCCCTCTGACCTTGCCTAGCTTTGCTGTTTCCATGGACTTCTGAATCTAATTAATGTCGTAGTGGCTGTATAAGTGAATTATGTAGGCAGGAGGATGTTGGAAACTTTGAGGAAGGTGCATTCCTTAGGGAAAACCTGGTTTTGTTAAAAAACACACACACACACACACACACAGAAAAAGAAAGGAATGCACATTCCCAGGGGTAGAATGTCAGTGAAGTGTAAAACCTCAGCAACTAGTTACACTCAATAAATATATGTTGCCTGATGAGCAGAGGGAAACTAAGGAGCATCTCTTTTGACATCTGGGCAATAATGACCCATTATGGAAGCTGGCTGAGGGGACAGATTGCCCAAATATGCTGCCATTACAAATGGGCTTCAACCACTTAACTGGGGTATTGGCCCCTCTCTTCTGCCCTCCCTCCCTTTTCCAGCCAGTTCACAACCATTTGAAGGAAGTATGTTCTTAGATGATCTCTGAAATGACCCTGGCTCCCTGGGCCCCAGAATGTTCTTCAACTCTCTAGGACAGCGGGCAGGCAAGGGGGAGGGGCATGAGTGCTGAAGTTCTCCGCCAGAGGATACTGTCAGAGAGCCCAAGGCAGAGATGGTCCCTATGCCCCATGTTTCCATGGAAACATAGGAGGAGTGATGACAGCCAGCACAGCCACACCATCTGCTCAGGACCTGGTGAATGATGAAAAAAAAATAGAAAAAGAAAGGCACCTCGGATCTCAGGCTGGAACCACTCTGAGATACCTGTAGGGAGAGAGGACAAGGCCTGAAGACACAAGAGCTCCTGGGTGAATTTAAAATCCATGTTGTCCTGGGGCTTGACATATTAGCATGCAATTTGTAAACTGAAAGCCTAGAGAGAGGGTTTATCCCGCAATCCCTAGATACAGTTACAAACGCCCAAGAAGCCTCTGGAAGGAGAAGCAGATGGAGTGATGCGTCTGCAGCTTTGCTGGAAGGGGAGAGAACGGTGCCCTTACAAACAATGCTGGAGGAGATGGAGTCCGGGCTCAGGGCTCGGGGAGCGTGAGGGCGCACCCATCACCTTCCAGCACGAGCACCTGCAGAGCTGGCTTTTGGCCAGACATACTTTTCTGTGGGAATGGTGGGATTATAAAGAGAGAAAAAAAATCCCTCCTGGTCACGAAAGTGACCTCTGAGTTGCAGCTGTGTCTTCAGGATAAGACATGAATTAATAAAGCTATGCAAGGTTTCTCTTCTATCAAATAATACATAAGGAGAGATCTTAGACACCAAAGATGTGCTTCTGGGTCTATTTAAGAGGTTTCCTGTTCCAGGTTGGCAGAATGTGAGTGGGGCCTCAGACTGGGCAGGATTCATTTGTTAGTCCCTTTTTGCCAGCAAAGATGTATCCTAAACAAACAAACTAACCTGACCTAGGGGGCCAAACAGCTGCCTCTCACTTAGCCCCTCCCTCAGCAGCCTTCTCCTGAGGTGAGTGGTGGATTCAGCCCTCAGTGGTACTGCTGGAATCCACCTGGAGAGAAAAGCCCCTTAGGTCACAAGGGGTATGGGATGCACAAAAGCCACAACAGCTTCCTAGGAAACACTTCCTTTTCATTTAGGTAGTCTCTTACTCCTTTAAAAAAAAAATCTTCCCTTTTAGTACTGACATCCTAATCCCAAAAAGTCCAAGCCCTTTTTCTGCTTTGTCTTAAAGATTTAAAATTTTGACAACTAGATTAAGTGCTCATTTTGGTTTGTGTACCCAGGGGCTAGAGTATAATAGGAATAGCTACATAAAACAGATTAATAATAATAATAATAAAGATCTGCCCACAAAAGCTCTCATTAACTGTTCTTTATTTTACTTGTAAAAACTATTAAATTATTTTCATGACAGCTTAGTAAAAAACAGTACCTACAACTATTATTTGGGTCTTCTCAAAAGCCCTTAGTCTCCAAGCGGACAGTATACACAAAAACATTAACTAGAGATAAAGTATTAATGCAACTATTCCCATATTAGGGGCCCCAAACAAAAAATAAGAGCTATTCCTGAAGTTAGATTTTAAAATATCCACAGTGTGAAAGTGCTTACGTGTAAGTACGTTCGTATATTAACTTGAAGCACCAGAGTTTTAAATTCAAACATAAATCTGTCCATTACCACCTGGCATTTTGGGAAGGGCCTTTTACAACTAAACCTCTCAACCAGCTCCATACCACCCAGTGCCTTCTCCCTTCCTTTTCTGGGATCATTTATCTTCAGCCTCTGCGGTGAGGGCAAATCTGTATCTTGAGCTTCAAACACAGCATGGGACTCGCAGTAAACATGGTTCTGTTTGTTCTTCAGCGGCCCTCCTTTGTATAAACAGATGTGGTGGGAAGGAAAGGAGAGCCAGATCCCCTCCAGAGCAGGGAGGTCTCCTTTCTGGAGAAGCTTCCCAGCTGCAGCCAGGAGCACAGGACCGGGACACATTTCTTGCTCAGGCCTCGGAACTTGCTGTTCTTCCAGAGAGGGGATGTTCTTCTTGCTCTCTCCTCCACCCTCCACTCTCCTCCCCCAGCCTTTGTTCCTGGGAATGCTGTTTCAGTGCCTGGGTCTCACTTTTGCCAAAGCAAACATTTCCAACAAGGCTTATGCTAAGGAGATATTAGGAAGACAGATTTTTTTTTCCCCCTTTCCTTTGCTCCAAATACCCTGCGGATTGGGTATTTGGGAAACCAGCCCCTCACATTTGCACTTTTTCCTATATTCATATTCTCTCTGTTCTTTCGTAGCCTTGTTACTGCCTTCAGCTATGAAGGGGGGTTATTAAGGTTGGGAGTTGTCAGCTTGCAAAGTAACAATTCCATTTTCTCAGACTACGTTGATGCGGGACTCTGCCTTAATTTAGCGTTTTCCATTTTGCACATTAGTTACGGATGCTAACGAAGGAAGGGCTACTTCAGAGCTGGGGAAGAAGCGGGTGGGGAGGAGCATTTTGTAATACAGTCTCAAATAAGAAAGAATTCTCATTGGCCTTTTGGTCAGTTTTGTGTTCAAAACTTAAGTTTGTTAATCCTCATTCAGAGGTGAGGAGGGTGACTTCCAGGTTTGACCCTGGAGGGATCTTGTGACTTCTACCCCGGGAGGTCTAAATTTCTGGCGGCCCCAGTCAGCGGTTTGTTCTTGTCCAGAAAAGGAACAAAGGGGAGAGCCCTGGAAAGGCCTCCCTTAAGGCAGGGAATTTGGTGAAGTGGTGAGGCGTAGCTGCATTGCTCTGTGCTGCTCTCTCCAGGAATTCTGGAGAATCCTGAGTGAGGTTCCCAGAGCTCTGGCCAAGAGGTCAGGAGAGTCAGGGGGCCATGGAAGCGTTCCCAGTTCTAGGGCAACTGTGGAGAAACAGCTACAGCCCGATGCAGACATACACTTCTCTGCTTGTCTATAAAAGTAAGCGAGGGGGGAAAGCAAGCGGTCTTTAAAATCAGGAAAGTAACAATAACAAGTACTTGATTTTTTTAGGAGCCACGATGATACTCTATCATCTTTCTAGCTGATAATCTAACCCCTCTCCAGACAGGAGATGGGGCTGGAAGTTTGAGGCCTCATTTGTGCCCCTTCCCGGTAAGAAAAAGAAAGGAGGTTGGTTTTCAGGGACCGGCCAGCTGGAAGATGGGTGGGACCCCCACTGCAGGCCAAACTGCAGCTGAGAAGAGGTTTCCTCCGCGCTTCCCCTTTATTTCACTTAACTTACTGACTCCTGATAGCTTGAAGGATTTGTTTACGGCGCTGCCGCGGGCTGCACGCTTAACTCTCCCCGCGCCCAGGGCGGCCAGGGAATTGCCGAGCGCCCACCCCAGGTCTGCATCGCGCACACGGCCCGCGGGAGCGCCGAGCAGGGTCACATCAATCCTGGGCCGCAAAAGTAGTGCGTGCAGCCCGGGAAGGAGCGGGTGGGGCCGGGCGAGGGCGAGCGGCAGAGGGATGCGGCAGGCCGGGCACGGCTCGGCATCCCCCCCGCAAGCCGCCGCCTAGCCATTCTCTCCGTCTCGCAGGACGGCTCGGGACACCCCGGGCTGCTGGAGGCCAGGCGGGCCGCAGGGGTCCGGGGAAAGGGGCGGCGCGGCCTGCGATCTCCGCGGGACCCCGAGGAGCGACGCGGGGAGAGCAGGGGCGCGCGGGGCGGGCGCGGCGCGGGGCTCACGGTGCGCGCGCGCCTCGGCCTCGCCCGCGCACACGCCTCCCGAGGAAGGCGGCGGCGCAGAGCACCGCGGCGGCGGCTGCAGCGGCCGGCGCCGCGGAGGAGGGAGGAGGGCGGCGCAGGGCGGCGGCGGGGCGCGCGCGGCGAGCTCGCCGCTCTCTCGTGAGGTGTGCCTGCGCGGCGAGCCGGCGAGCGGGTGAGTGCGCCGGCGCTGCCGCCGGCCGCCGCCGGAGTCGGCAGTCGGGCGGGGGCGCCGGAGCCCGACCCGGGCGGGCGGCGGGCGGGCGGCGGCCGCTCCGGCGCGGCGGATGAGCACCTAGCGCCGCTTCCTTGCAGCGCGCGGGCGGCCAGAGGCTCGGCGGCGGCGGCGGCAGCGGCGGCGCTGACACCTTCCACCATGGACAGCTTCGACTTAGCCCTGCTCCAGGAATGGGACCTCGAGTCGCTGTGGTGAGTCCCGGTGCCGGCCGCTTCGGGCAGGCGGGAGCGGCGAGGGGCGGCCGCGGCGGCCCGCGCGCCCTCACCTGGGCCGGGGGTTCCGGGCGGCCGGCCGCCGTGGGGGTGGGGTGGGTCCGGGCGCCCGCCTCGGCGGCTCTTTCTTGCCTTCCCCGGGGGGATGCACGGCCGTCTCCCCGTCTCCAGTCCCCTTCATCACGGCGGCCCGCCCCAGCCCAGGGGCTGGGGATCTAGGTAGCCGGGGGCAGAGCGCAGCCATGGAGAGAAAAAGAAGCGATTTTAAGAACGTGTCACTAATGCCTGGGGAGCCATCCGTCGGCCCCCGGCCCCTGTCACGTCCTTTCCCTCGGATTGCGCCCCCTCCGTCTCTCCAAGAACCTCTGGTTCACACCAGCGACCCCCTGGAGTTGGAGCTGCTGGCTAAGTGCCCTTAGAGGATGCTCCAGCCTCCTCCCTGCCTGCGCCGGGTCTCAGAGGCTGCATCCTTTCTGCCTCTCCCACCCACTCCCACCCGAGATGGAAAAGTGAACACCCAGGGCAGAAGGCGAGTGTTTCTCCGTGCGGGAATTCCAGAGGCCTTGGCCCGGAGAGACTCGTTTCCTCGAGGTTCACAATTCCTCTGGGCCCTTTCTTCACACCTCACCACAGTTGTACTCCTCCTCCCCACCCCACCCCACCCCGGCGCCCCGTGTATCCCTTTATGCCAGGCTCACAGCTCGCAGCCTGGGAGCACTCCGGGTTTAGTTTCTTGGGGATCTCACATTGAGGAGCTGCTGTAGGTAAATCGCCGCTGGAAGCAGTTTAATTCCAGTTGCGGGTGTCTTAAAAATCCCATTGGCTGCTTTAACATCTCTCTTAATACCCCTTCTTTCTCTGCCGCCCGCCCCCACCCCATTATCTTTTAAATGTTTCCAACCAGCACTATTCAGGTGGTAAAATTACTGCCTGCATATTCCTGGAGGAACTTGTGTTATGTTTAATATTTACGGGGATGAACATCTGCTGGAACAAGCATATTAACTGCACTCTGTTCTGCCTCTGGTAATCGCTTATTGTAGAACTGAGCTTTTTTTTTTTCTGCTTTAATTCAGTAAAGAGTTCACATGTGTCTAAAACTGCAAGTGGTGTGCACATGAATATGCAATGTACAATTTTAAAGCTAAACTGCTCTATGATTTATGGCTCATATAGATGATATGTGGATTGGTGTATATTTTCCATGATTTAGGCTTCCAGTGACTTTTATTTTCCTAAAGACAGGTGTAACAGAATAAACTGGACAAATCTATTGCATTATCAAACAGTTTCTTATAAAAGATCCCATGATGAGTAAGTACAGCTTGCTCTGCATAATGCTGGTGCCTATAAAACACACAAGGATGGGCCCTAATGTAATAAAACTTTTACATATTACACTGGAAACTTCAAAGAGCCAGTGTAGAAAAAATATGAAACATGTTATTACTCCATAAAAGTTGCTAATTACTGTGTTGCTTCTCCTGGGGTTATTTCAGCCTTTCATTTACAGATACCTGTTATTTTATAGGTTTACATTTAGAAATGTTGGTTTCTGGCACAAATTCAATAGATTTCAGATAGCAACTATACTTTTAAAAGCAAAAATGACTTTTGGTTTTGAAAGGCAGTTTTTCAATCGAAGGGAAGAACTGTTTTGGCACAATTTTATGCTGTTTATTTGCTTGCTGACTCGAATTGAACCCCCTCATGACTTTTATAAGTAATATTTTGAGATTACCAACCATAATTTTTGTGTTCTTCTAGCATAAGGCCTCAGCTCTATTCCCTTTTCATCCTTAATTCCCAGCTAAGTTACTTGGAGCATTGTCACAGAATAAAATGTTTGTTGAATTGACTTGAAATTTACAGTAGCTATAGTACATTTATTGTTCTTATAAAAGCAAGACATTAAGCATTTTTTAAAAAGTTGCTGTACATGCAGTCAGACTTTAACCAATGCGTCAATTTTTGGTAAATGAAAGCATGGAGGCTTTCTGTATTACAATATAGTAGGACAGTTTGGCTTGACTGAGGGAATGTTTCTTGTTTTGCAGATTTATAATTTACATTTTATAAAAGCTTATGTGTTTCTGGTAAGTTAAAAACAAACCAAACTCCTTGAGTGTGCGTTTCTAACATGGTCAGACATTTTTTCAGTTACAGGTGAATTTTTGGATGGTATTTTCTAACTCAATTTGTGGTTTACTTAAATTTTTAAGCTAATGGTTTATTTTTAGGCTGGTAGGTGGTCCAAGATACTTAATATTTGAGTACTTACTGTGTGTCTAACCTTTTCATATCTACTGTTTGTGTATATGAATCTCCTAACAATCCTGGAAGTGGTAAGTGGTAGTAGTAGTCCCATTTTATAGATGAGGAAATAGAAGCTTTGAACTGTTAAGTCACTATACTGAGACTGTAAAACAAAAGACAGCAGTCTTTTAAAAACGAACATTTACCAAACGCTATTTACCAGACACTGTTCTAGGTATATTTACATATTTTACCTCACTTAATCTTCACAACTGCCTTACAAAGCAAGTACTATTATTAGTCCCATTTTACAGACAGGGTAATTGAGGATTGGGGAAATCAGGCGACCTGCCCAAGGTCACACATCTAGAAATAGAACAGCTATATTTGAATCAAGAATTAGCTTCAAAGCCCAGTTTTCTGACTTCAAATCCAGTGCATTTTCTAGATGTCTCTCAGTTTGTGAGGACAGCTCTGAAATTAATTAAAAAGCAAAAGCTTGATGGACTGGAAGTTAAAGTTCTGTTAAAATACCAAAGAAAGAGAAGGTCAGAGTCCTAAATGGTATTGATCTAAAATTAAAAATTTGAAAACAAAATACCATGATTTAGAAATTATGCATGTTAATTATGAATAAAGACAACTGAAAACTTCTTTAATTCATTGTAGAAAAATGCGTCTCTTTGGAGGGGGAAGGAGTAGGTACAGATTACTGGCAAGAGAGAATCTTATTTTAATCCCTAACACATTTTTCTAATTGGTGGACATTGTTTTCCAGTAAAACAAATTGCTGTTTATTAGTTGTGACTGCGGCTTTGAACCTGAGCTAGTTTATTCTAGCAGTCACAGAAAGTGTCCTCAAATGACTGTATAGGTAATATGAAGAGAAAAGTTCAGTACTGTTGAATGTAATCAATATAGACCGTCAATTGATAATTCAAGAACCACCTCCTCTGCCTTCTTGCACGCCCTTCCCCCTACTTAGAAACATCCATGGTTGTTTATCAGGGTGGGTCTTTTGAGCCTGAATTATTCAGATGGCTTTTCAGTTTTTCTTTTTAGCCATACTATAAAGTTGAAAGGGTGGCCCTAATTTCCGACTCTAATAATTCCACTTCCCATTTCCGGTATGAAGCAAGACTGGAAAACTTGGAACAAGGTGAAGATGCTCATTAGTCCCCAGCTCTGTAGCTTCTGTAGACTCTGGAAAAATTGGGGATTCAGTGAGTTTATAGGGGCATGTGTGCAGAGGAGCAGTGCCTCTGCTCAGCTGCTCCCTCCTCCTGTGGTCCACCACTTTTTGATTAGCTGCTTAGACATATAAGCCATTCCTCAGGGCCTTTAAAATAATGACCATCCCTTTTAACAGGCTAACTGTGTTGCTTTCATTTATTCACTTAACAAATATTTATTGATCATCTTTTAAGTATAAGACCTTGTGCTAGTTGCTGTGGGGGATGCAAAGATGAGTAAAGACTAGGTTGTGCATGCTAGTGTCTAGTAAGGGAAATGAGACAAGTACACAGATGAAAAAGGAAATTTTTTTAACACTGGTGATTCAGAAAAGAGACCACATTTAGGAATAGGTTGGGTGGTGGAGGAGGGACAGAGAAAAAATTGAGTTAAAAAAAGGCTTCCATGAAAAAGGTGGCCTTTGAACTAAGTCTTGGAAGATGAATGGGATTTTTACAGACGGGGGTGAGGGTGGGGGTGGGGTATTGAGAGGACATAGAGGCATCTTGAGTAAAGAAAGAACTTGAACAAAGGCTTTCATGGTGTCTCTTAAAGATCCTTTTATGAATCATGGTGGAATTACCTATACTACATATTTTAAAGATGCAGAACTGTGTAATCATGAGGTAGTTTCAGTGAATGAGAAAAGTTTTTTTTTTTCCCAAAATGAACTTAATCAAATTTATATTTAATCTTCCTTAAATATAAACACATTTTTAATTATTGGGGAGAAAGTCTATCCATATATGATAGTAAATATTCAGATCTTCCCTGTCTCCCCGTAGCTTCCTATAAACCAGAATCCATACATTTTCCTTCAAATAGACGTTATACTTTATATTGGGAGTCTTTGAAGTTACAATACATGGATCATCTCATATTCATCAATTTTTTCAATTCAGTAAGCATTCATAGAGTATTATTACTATAGGATAGGTGCTGTAGGGCAGTGGCTTTCATAATCATGACCCACAGCCACAAATACATTTAATATTAATGTATGCACATGCATACACAGAACTGAAACAAGATTGCCTGAAATAACACTTATTCTTACTATATATGATGCACTTTGATATTTTCTATTCTCTTTTTTTAACAATTTCCCATCCATGGGTTGAACCTGCAGTTTAAAAAACCCAACTGTAGGGGATGGAAAGAGAGAGAGAATGTGTCTGTTGAGAACTTACAGGAGAATAAACCATACCCATAAATGTCTTCAGTACAAAGCTGGCACTGCCTGTTGCGGGGTGGGTGGGTGGGGGACACCCTGTTGAGAGAGTAAGATATTCATTGGGGGGTGGCATTTGAAATTGGGGGAGTCCTGGAGAAGTATTACAGAATTTCAGAAGGAGTAAACAAAAGGGAGGAAAACCACGTGGAGGGAAGAGTGTGACTAGAACCAGAGAGGGAATAAAGCCTGGGGCTTGTTTGGTGAAGATAAAGTTGTTAACTAACGCAGGGCAGGGATGGACAGCACCCCTTTAGGA